CATTGCTTCACATGAACCTGCAGTTATGCTGCAAAATTTCGAACGATCAAACATCGAAAATTTGGAATATTACTTGGTCAGGTTTTGTCCACGCTAAATGGAGATGGCAAGAACAAGCAGAAAATTTACAAAGGATATCTGACTTTTTGGCAACACTATCTTGAGCATTTATAGTTAATATTATAGCCAGCAAGATCTGATTAAGCTTTTCATGTGTACTCATTGATGGATCAAATTTTCACTCTTCGCAGGATCATTGAGCAGTACGGGCAATTTCAGAGGTATTGGGTTGCAGGCTTCCTCAACCTTAAGACTGCATATGATGGAATTCTTCGTTCAATCAGATGAAAAACTTTAAATTGCAATAACATAATTGTGCACATATTCTTCGCGTTATAACAGATGTGAAAAGTAAGAGTGCTCATTTCCAAAATCGAAAAAGAGCCATTTGAACTGTTCTCCGTTAGCTGCAAAGTTAGCCATTGAGAAGGGTTGCCGCCTTTCCCATTCGACAGGATCCTCTATTTTCTTCTCCGAAATAATTCTGAACTTTGCAAAGATGCAGGTCTAATGTTCCAGATAGATTGCTGGAAGCATCTGAGGCTAAAACAATTCTCCGGCTTAACTCTGACTAGGTGGTTTCATTAATCGAAATGATGGAACTGATATACTTAAATAGATTAGCTTCTTGAACTGTTTCACTTGTAGAGCAGTTGTACCGAATGGCTACTACATAATTTTTAGCAGTTATTGTTCGAAAGTTACTGCAGAAACCGGCTGCTCGTTTGTATGCGGAAGCTGTGAAACGAGATAGCTCTCTCCCAATGCAACTAGGCAGCAGAAAATTATCCGCGTACTCCAGGAATCTAAACACGGTCACCATCAGCCTTAGTCGATCCACCGCTGAATGAAAGCTTCCATCATACTTTGTGATTAACTACTGTCATCTTCTATTTTTACTCATCTAGATCCTGTTAATTTCTTCTGCCCCTCCGCCATCCATCCGGATGTCGTCCTACAGGCAGCTGACTCTCTGTTGAAACCCAGTATAAAGTTACTCCGATACAGCGGCGGTTGGTTCTTCTGGAAACGCGTGGACCCCATATCTGGTTTAGCTTCTTCACTCGGGCAATGAGTTGATCAGGAAAGTAAACGTAATACGTCATAACTTAACTGCCTGCTCCTCCCACAACTTTGATCGCAGTCCTTTACTAGTCATTCCATACCAATATGTTTGAGTAAAAGGTTTCAATGTTTCATGAACAGTTACGACTTTAGGACGGTATACTCTGTTCCACAATTTCATCGAAATGTGGACGCGCCACCTTGGCAACTCGAAGAATTATTAATAGCATACAATTTTTTCTTCGAGTGCTCCATATGTCACTAACTGCTTGTTTGCATTCATTAAGCTGGAAAGTGGGAATCATTAGTGATTCCATTCCCGCAGTAAAATATCCATCCTCTAATTTTTGAAGGTTAAAGAACTACTCCAGTGTTGTTTGATGTGCATGATTCAAATTTGACATATTTATATCTGTAGTGGAATGCAAGTGTTCACGGTCCAGCGGTCCCAGCAATTTGGCAAGGTGCAATTATACACAGTGCACAAAATGAAGCAAAAAATTTTTGCCACAACTTTGTATGTAACTTTACGCTGAATCCATGAAGATCCTTAAGAATCCAGAGCAAGTGAAACTGTACTGAGCATATCAAGGCATCAGTATTGCGAGCGTACGCTGGATTCAAACCTGTACGCATATCCGCATCATTGATTTTCAAATGACAATTATATCACATAAATTGTGAGACGGATATGCTAGGATATTGTTCGCGAAGGTCTCAGTGACAGAGGAAATGTCGTTGACCACCACTGAGGCGATCCTTTGATGTCGTATGTCCGCTGCTTTGTCAGAAAGCCTCAAACTGCATCGCAAGACCATATGTCATCAACCGATACAATAAATTGAAATTGGAATTTGTTTGGACTCAACTGATATATGCTAATAAATGAGGGCAGTAGCCCGTAAATAAACTACGCAAACTGCGACTTTTCTGTCATAATGATGTTCGTTATTATACACAATTTGCAGGTATACCTAGTATAAACTTGAGCGCTAATATAACAGAACGATAGATACCTTTTGAATATGGAATTTGAAAAATGAGTAACGCTGCGACTCCATTTACTTTTGGTAAGGCCGATTTACTAATTTCGTTTCGTTTTATAAATTTTAGAAAATTATTTTTAATGCTGGTTGACCCGTGGCTGTAGGATGCGGTTGTTTCGTTATTCAGATCGTGTTTTTGTATCTTGTTACGGGAGAAAGTCGATAATGCGTATTTTTTGCGTATAATAAATTGGGTTTTGTTAATATGTGCTTTCACTTAATGAAGAAATAACCCATAGGTTCCGAAAACTCATGTAAGTTTCAGTTGTTTTGAGCGAATACTGTCAATCCTATGTCTGTTCTGCATGACATCTGTGATATGACTCGGGAACGATCGTAACTTACCCACTGCTGATCGCATGTGTGGTTTTTAAAATTGACTGAGAAACTGTGAAACCTTTAATACAAAAAGAAGTTAGAGAAAATACCATAGGAAATGGTTTGTTAAATGGTCATCCTATGCGATTAGAATCAAGGGGTGGTACGCATACCCAGAATAAATTCGGTATCAGTAATTGGATTGGTATGTTTACAGGTGGAATTGAAAAGCTGCTGTGTGCTGGCCAGCACGAAGCATCTATCTTCTGTGTAAGAGAATAATGCTATGAACTTTTTGGTTTTCGAGTCCATTTCTACAGAAGGACCGCGTTGAATAGCATATTGCAATACCCGTAATTCACACTGGCCAGTCCAAAGCCTTGTCCTTGAAAATTTTCAGTGTGCTGTTATTATTCCTTGTCATCTACAAAGTGCACGTTTTGGCCACATCTTTTAGCTTGGCAGTTACCAGTTCGAGCCGGTGATTGTGGAGTGGTCACAAAGAATTTACCTTCAGACAGTCTGGTTCCCGTACAGTTTTCTGATAACAGGCGACTGTCGCTTATTCCACAGGCCATGCTTTCTTCGTCTGTAGCAGCTTCGCTTTAATTTATTGTTATATTATTTGGACATATGCTTGTTTTGTCGATGCTAAGCCGTAAGATTCTGTGGCAGTCTTGTTAAAACGATAAACTTTCATCAACCCGAAAGAATGTTGCTTCGTTTAGTTGCTTCTCGCTTTATTGCGCGTAGTGTTATTTTTCTAATTTGTCAGATCGATTATGTTGATGCGTCACGAGGAAATCCGTAACAGTTTATTATTTATAATTGGCTACAATTCCGTTATGCACCCATAAATTTATTTTTCTATACCCTCTGTTTATCTATTTTTTTGTTTTATTTTCTGCTCGTGAATTCAGTTTCTCGTGATGAGCAGCCTCGGTTTTGCATATTGTTTTTATAAGAACATAATATTGCTCTTTGCCTTCGTAAGTGCAGCAGTGGTCACGAGATAAAGCTATCTCTGAATTCGCGAAATATTGGAAATCTATCTGGTTGCAGAAGTGGGGTTGATTTTCCAACAGACTTATGGAATTTTGGATTAGAATTCCGTTCTGTCGAACCATCTTCTTTTTCTGTTCGTGGACAAAGGAGTTCTTGTAAAATGTTGTAAAGACGAACTTTTTTAAATCACGACATGGTAGTTGATTAGAATAATTCACTTGGAATATTCATCTGGAATAAATAATATTTTGTAATTGCAATATTTTAGCAATTGATCGTATTAGCTTCCAGTGCCTTACGATATTTTAATAACTGTTTAAATTAGTGTGCTTGAGCTCATGTGGTGGATTTAATTTATTGACAAACCTTTCTTTCATTTTATGATCCGTGATCAGTATAGGTTCTTAGGTTCCCTTCACGTAAAAATTCCTGAAAGCGTAAGGCATAGTACTCACGGTAGCTGTAGTTTAAAATATTTTTAACAGCTGAAGTAGTATGGTTTCATCAGATGATACTGAAGCATTATCTGCTTGGTATTCATCTCATTATTCTCTCATCACAGGCAGTTGTCTTTTCTAGAACAGGCTCCAAATAGGTACGTTGTGACGAAACTGCCATCAAAAGCACATGACAATTTTTTTACGTACCAAAGACCCAAAAACAAGCCACGCGATACGCGCATGAAACAGCTTTATGGATTATGGAGCTGTGTAAAACTGCCATCCCATGGACCACAATACACAGTAGTAAACGAAGACACGCGAGGCATAATGGTGGACGTTGTTTCCTTACTTGAAAGCTTTTGAGGGCTAAGGTAGTGTGTCTACGATCTGTAATTTCATGGTGATGTGGACTGAAACGGTAATGACGGAATTTAAAATTCTTTTCGGTTTGTCTCTGAGGTGCACATGCAGAAAAGCATCGTTTAAGGATTCCGAAAGCTCCTTGCTGATTAAACATTATTTTCATACTTACAGCCATCTATGTTTAATTTCTTTCGACCTGCATGTCGGTGTCAAATCCGAAGCTTCCTCCTATTTTGTTGAGTGTTAATTACCTACTAGCTGGTGGTCTTTAAAGGTATATAAACTTAAATAATGCATTTGCGAATATTTTTGGTCTGTTCCCAACCTCACAGAATACATGCAGCCGTCAAAGCATGAAAAGTAGGGTCTTAGACTTTTTCGGCCGTGATGGTTAATAGTGAATCTCTTTAAGCGGCAGACAAGTGGAGCAATGGCAACTGAGTGTTGAACAAATCGAATTTGCCTAATCGAACCCACTTCTGTTACTTATTTTCTTCTTTTTGTTCTTCTTTTTCTTTCTGTTCTTCTTAACTCAGCTTACCTGAATCTTTCTGGCTAACCACATTAGTAATCAAGTCTTCTGCTACGTAGTCATTTAGGAACGCCATGCTCCGGTTCAGGTTTATCCAGCTTCGGTAATATTGCCAGCAGCGCTGCAGCTGTGACTACCTCTTTTCCCTCGATTAGTCAGCCGACGACGATGACAACTGCTGCAGTGAGTTCGGCGGTCGGACTGGGTGGCGTGGCAGTTGGACCTTTAAATTCTGCCGATGCCAATACCAAGTATGTTTTGTTGTCACTGGTAAAAAACACGTGAGCTTTGCTGGTCTTAGCATAACTAAACCATTGGATTGCCCTGTACCAAAGGAAATCCATGACTTAGCGAACAACATCAAGTAAGAATTTTTTAATTTTAATTATTCAAACATTGCTGCAATTTAATTAATTTATTGAATATTTTAGGGAACAGATCAAGGCACATCGACGTTTTGCCGACGAGTTATCTTCAAACAATATGAAGCAACTAACTAGCATTGAACAGTATACCAAGTTGATATCGAAAGGAATTGTGGACGGGTTTCGTTCTGTTCAGAAGTCCATTGGTGACGCGAAGGCGCTCAAGTCTTCTTCTAGGCAGGTGATCGAGAACAGCACAAAGTTATAATAATTTGTCATAATCATGTTTTCATAATATATATTTTGTGATAAAGGCAAAAGAAAAAATCTTAGTTCTGCTGTAACAGCTGTAATGTTACAAAAACGAATTTTCCTAAATTTTCGTCTTGTCAGTGACACTCGATTCGTTTTTGCAGTTTCATATCATACACAATTTTTGTGTATAACATGTCTCAAATCGATGAGAGTATGTTCATTCAAATCTCAGCCACTCCTGCTTTCTCATGCGTCCAAACAATAGTTGAGTTATGGAAAATGTGCATTTTTCTGACCTCTTTCCGTCATATGCAGACGAACTCTAAACCATACAGAATGTTCTTTGTGTGAAATAGGCAGATGGTACTGTACTTGGCAGTGTTATCAGATCTAAATCTGACTACATTTGCTGTCGGAACTGTTCAAAGGTATTGATAATTCAAGCGAAGAATATTGACCTGATGGTGAATGCGGAGAAATCATTCGACTTCACATTCCCCATGAAAGGCCTTAAGCGAAGTCACATGCTGGGCGTGATTCAGGCTGAACTGTATCCTAGTGTTGTAAGTAATACCTGGTTTACCAATAAAATACTGACATAACGC